GCTATAGAACCCGGTATGTCCTACTATTTACCCATAGCTGGAGGGAGAAGAGGAGGATTCATACCTATTAGCACGTAAATGAATGCAATGGATTCGACAGGAATTCGAACTCGTCTCTCTGATTCCTCAATTCGAGCCGCTATCCACTACTCCACCGTAGTGTTTATATTTTCTTTATAGTGATAAATACTTTCCTGGGCAGATAAACAGTTCTACACTGTAATTTGTTTTGGATCCCTTTCAAACAGGTGTTACCAGGGATTTTATTAATGTGTTTGTCTCTACCTTTTTTTTTATCATATCCAGGGATTCAATTATTAGAGGTACGACAGTGGATTTAAGGTACCAGATTTTTTTAGTTTTAATTTAAAGATTATTATATTTACTTACTATGTCAAATTCTTTAACAGATATATTTTTATCTGATGACGTAGTCATATCTGTAAGAAAGCATTCTTCGTTTGTAGTAAAGACTAAAACAAAATGCTTTCACAATTCCTGGTCAGTCAGGATTAATGATAAAGCCCGAGATAATAGTGATTTCGTGGCTTTCAATGCAAATTTCATACAATCTTTCGGGATGTAGCACACTATAGCACTGACATATTTCCCAATAAATATACGCCCAATTTTATCATGTCTATCTTCGTATTTCCTCGGACATTGGACAGACAAACATTTAGGGGTCAAAAGTCTAACCATGTTTTTTCACATAATCTATATATTGGGTCTGCTCTATTCTTTCTTATACGTCCCTGATAATTTAGAATGTCTGATGTTCGACAACCTTCTGTAGAATCAAGCAGACGCGGAAGTTTAAATATCCCGGAAGTGTCTTGACAGAGGACCGTAAATGCGACACTGAGATCCGTAGACGTATTGGGATGACCAAAGGACACATTCTAAAAGCTGGGCAGAGTATTGCAAGACAGGAGGATTTCTTTGGTAAAAAAGAAAAGAGTACTGATCTGTTACGTGAAATCAGTCCTTCTGCAGCGAATGTTGGACGATTTCCTCAAAAATGAAGAAGAGACTCGAAGCGACGGAGATGTGGTTCTACAGAAGGATGCTAAGGATATCATAGACCAAAAGTGTGAGCAAGGATGAGGTCTTAGAAATGTTGCTAACAAGGACGAGGCTTATACTTAACATTAGGAAGAGGCAGCTGAAGTTTCTGGGACACAAAATGAGGAATGAGGGCCTGGAGAATCTGATACTCACGGTTCGAATAGAGAGAAAGAGGGACAAGGGAAAACAACGCATGACAGACCTGACGGGCTGAAGTAAGTGGATGACAGAATGTGGTCTGGAGGAGGAAGCAGAGGGAAGTAACTTGCAAGAGAGACAAGGACGTGGAGAGCCAGGATCGCCTACGTCCTAAAAGGATATGGCACATAAAAAGAAAGAAAGGTGCTCAACTCGACGAGACCGCCTTTCTGCGTCTGCTTGGTCTCACGGTATCCGCTAACCTGAGGTGGAACAATTATATTGAATCAATAGTTTCATCTACCGCAAGGAAAGTTGGTTCTTTGTGTCGCGCCAGAAAGTTTTTCTCGCCCGAGTCCATCCTTCAAATCTATAAAATCAACAATTCACCCTTGCATGGACTACTGCTGCCTTATATGGTCTGGAACCCCCGCTGTTCGTCTGAAGGCCCTCGACAAAATCCAGAGACGGATATGCAATGTGGTTGGTCCTGGTCTGTTATCTCGTCTACATACACTTTCTCACAGACGTGCTGCCGCTTCCCTCTGTCTATTCTACAAGTACTTTCACGGTAAATACTCCGAAGAGCTATTTTCGCTGGTTCCCAAACTGCATGAATTTAAGCGTGTTACTAGGTTGGCATCTCAGTCCCACCCTGTCACTGTTGAAAAGTTTAAAAGTAGCCGTCTCTTCTACTCCAATAGCTTCATGTATCGCACTTCCCGTCTGTGGAATTCCCTTCCTCTTACTTGCTTCCCTGACAGTTTTAGTCTTCAAATATTCAATGTAATGTCAATCGACATATTCTGGTGCTTTGATCTAATTCCCCGTACTTCTCTTTATCCTTTCCTCAATCACGTCTCTTTACTCTTACTCCCACTCTCTGTAACCCCTGGCGTGCTAGTGTCACTCCCGCCTTGCTTTATTTAAAAAAAAAAAAAAAAAAAAAAAAAAAAAAGAAGCTTTTTAAGCATTTCATTGCTTAAAAATCTCTTGGTAAATAAGCTTTGGTCCAGTGCAGCCAGTATTAATGCCTCTGTCTCTGCTGTTAGCCATGCCCTCTTCAGCCACTTATGGGTTTTGTGTTTATCTACATCCGCATGACTACTTTTGAGTGCATATTGGCCATGTACTGAGTTTCGTTACTAGGTGTTTTGTGGTGTCTTAGCAGGTTTTCAATTATTTCAGAAATTATTTATTGCGTATTATTATTTTATACTATTTACATTGTTTGGACTACTGTCCTCATCTTTGTTGCCATATTTATCACAACGTTTCGGCCGTTGTACGCTCCGGCCTTCTTCAGGTGGTTGGAATGTCGAACTGAAGCCTTTATTTCGCTCGCTGGGGTAGACTGTTCTAGTTCCACGTGCCATGTCTAATGGATGTCCCAGGGCACATGGCACAATGGATAAAGGCGTTGGTTAGATCCAGTGACAGTGTGAGTTCAATACCTGGTTAAGGCACTGGAGAACTTGGAGAGATGAATTAACAAGAGATAACTGATAACTGACATCCATTAAATATGGTACGTGGAACCAGCGAGTGAAATAAAGGGTACAGGTCAACATTCCAACCACCTGAAGAGGACCGGAGCGTACAACGGTCGAAACATTGTGATAAATACGGCAACAAAGATGACGATAGTCCGAAGATTGTAAATAGTGTACATAATACCTCATCTCAGAAATATAGACAGATATTGAAGGGACGAAACTCTGTAATAAATATGGCAACAAAGATGAGGACAATAGTCCGAAGATTGTAAATAGTGTACATAATCCCTCATCTCAGAAATATAGACAGATGTTGAAGGGATATAGACAGATATCATTTTATACCTTGACCGTAATGTTTATTAATTTCGGGGTTTATTATTCTCTTTACAAATGAAATATTTTTACTTATCTCATGACAAATATCTTGTAGCATACGTTATTTTTTTTTTCAATTCTTTTTGACCTTCATTTGTTTTATAATCACACTAGCAGTAGAGCCCGGTGTTGCCCGGAGATGTAACAGTAAGAGATAGATCAAGTATCGACCATCATAAAGACTGAAAAATAAAATTGAGAAAGATTATTGTTTAAGGTTGACGGACACGCATGTCTTAATTAGTTTTTTTGTTTTGTTTTGTTTTTTGTTTTTTTTTTACGAATTGGTGAAACCCAAACTCAAACAAAAACATTGTTTTTAATCGTTATGAGTCTACCGATTGAATAGAATTTTATTATAAACAATTGTCTTGTAAATGGAATTTTAAAGCATTCTGAATGTAAAATAAAGAAAAAAGTGTGCAAGACAATAAGAAACACTACCTGCCAAAAAAAGTGAAGTTTTGTTGAAATCGGTTGAAAAATGTAGAAAATCCGACCCCATATATAAACGAACACACACATACACACACACACACAAACAACCTGGGGTTTATAATAAGTATAACTCGATATGAGTTGTCCCCCTTTCATTCTCGCGACAGCGATGCCTCTTAATCGTGCTTTCAAATTGATTTTGTGCAAAAACAATTGTGTTTTTCCAATTTTTAGCGCTGTCAGAACCACCGCAAGTTAATTTTACGTAGTCCTGTGAAGTTTTGTTGAAATCGGTTGAAAAATGTAGGAAATCCGATCCAATATATATACGTACAGACACACACACACAACCTGGATTTTATAATAAGTATGATGCTGGATCATAACCAATGATCGAAGTATGTTACTGTTTCTTGTTTCTACTAAATTAAACAAAATATTATTAACAAAGCAAAGCTCTTCACAATGTCTGGGCTGTGCTTGTTAGAACTATTTTTTGTATTTCCTGGAGATATGATGCACAAGGAATTTCGTTGATTTGTTGTTGAGTTCCTTTCTTTATCAGACCTAGAACTCCGACCGCAACAGGAAAAGTTTTAGTTTTAAAGTGCCACATTTGTTTCTATATCCATCTCTGAGACTTTCTATTTGCTTAATTTTTCAAACACCTTCGCAGAGATGTTTTTATCACTTGGTATGCTCATGTCAATCAGCGCAATTTGTTTTTCTTTTCTGTCTTTGATAATAATGTCTGGGCAATTTGCTTGTATTGTTCGATCTGTGTTGACAGAAAAATCCCAGAGGAAGATAACATCTGCTCCATGAACTAAAGATTCAGGATGATGTTTATACCAGGTTGCAGCTGTTTTTATCCCATAGTGATATATATGTGTATGTGTGTGTAAAAATTGTGGTCAGTCTCATTTACGTGGGCAACTAACACATTTGATGTATTGTTTTGTAAAATGTCTCTTTTGTGTTCATATAATCCTTTATTTAGATTCCTTAAAGTTTCTCCTATGTGTTTTTTGTGACAATTATTACAGGCGATCGAGTAAATCCTCCTTTTTTGCCACAAAATATACATAAGAGAAACCTTAAGGAATCTAAATAAAGGATTATATGAATGCAAAAGAGACATTTTACAAAACAATACATCAAATGCGTTAGTTGCCCATGTAAAGGAGACTGACCACAATTTTTAGACACACACATAAAATTCTCATTGGGGATCCCAACTATATTATTGTGGTCTACTGTAAGAACAATAGTTAATAAGCTAGTCTCACGTTTCATCCACTTGTGCAGTGGATTCGATCCTCACTGGGGGTTCTACTAAATAGAAGAGACCTGCCGTAGATCGATAATCAACATGCAAATCTCAAACTTCACACACTTGTTCAATAGCTTTAATCCTCAGTGGGGATCCAACTATATAGAAGAGACATAATGTAGATTGATAATCTCATACTTCATGCAGGCTTACGGCCACATCACGACGAAAAACCGACTCCCGCACGATCACCGAAGTTAAACCACTTCACGCTTGGTCAGTACCTAGATGGGTGATCGTTTAGGAGTACAAGGTGCTGTAAGCTTGGATGTGCTGGGGGTGTAACAGATAATGCCTCGAAAATGTTAATCAGAGAGCCGAGTTCCAATTCCAGTTGGGTTCGTTATATTCACTTACGCGTAATTACCTTTGGGAAAGTTATAAATCTATCTCTTTCTCCCCAGTTATGGGTTAATTAGTAAGACTTGTATCACTAAAACCGTTATTATTTAAAAAGATTGCGTACAAAATATTTAGATTTCGGCATTAAACAACCCATAGATGTTGATATGCCAATAAGCAAACACAAGCAGCCAAAAAATATTTCATATATTTGTACAATAGATTCGATCCTCATTGGGGATCCAAATATATAGAATAGACCTGAAGTAGATCGTCATTATGCTAATCTCATATTTCATACACCTGTGCAATGAAATCGATCCTCATTGGGGATCTCATTATCTATTGAGCTGCAATTGCTAATTAACGTTTCTTTCCTTGTTTTTACAGGTTCCTATATGTCGTGATTGTCCTTGTTTTTACTGTTGTTCTGTTAAACCTCCTTCTTGGTGTTTTGATACTCTACTCAAAGCATCCCTACAAGACGTATTACTTTGCCAAGGTCATGAAAATGTTGGATTTTCCCACCGTTACAATGTGCAACGTTGAGAATATGTTTGCCTTTCCCCATAATTACACGCCGAACAGAACCTTGAAAAGTGTTTTGGACGCTTACATCCCAACATCTATAACTATTGTGGAATGTTTTTTCAACAGTAAAAAATGCTTCCAGACGTTTCCCACCATTATGATACTACGCAGGCAGATCCACGTTTGTTATATCATCCGGCCAGCGAGTAATCGCACGTTCGATATGGAAGACTTAAAAGGCGACGACGGCCTATTCGTGGATGTTTCTACAAGGAAGAGTTGGGCAAAAGGAGAAAAGGGCGTACGGGTAACGGATATATAATTTTTTTTTCAACCAATCGTCTACGGTATTTTTTCTATGTACAGAGTGCGATGGATAAATTGTCGTCTAAATTACGCAAAAAATGAAAATAACACTGACGTCTCATTTTAACAGATATATTTACCAAAATGACACAAAAATATCTTGAAATAATAAAGACTAAATTTATTCAATAAAATCGCCATTGGCTTAAACCACAACCTCCATAAGACTTCGTAATCTCCTGCAACTCTTCTGGAGGGTCTCACTGTTTAAGTTGGTGCATGCTGCCATAATCCTTGCCTTCAGTTCATCTTGGGTGTTACAAAGTGTTTTGTTGGTCTCTCACTCAACTGCGCCCACACATAATAATCAAGGGGGTTACAGTCTGGGGAGTTAGGTCACCAGATATAAGGGGTGATGTGGTCGCAGAAATTGTCTGACAGCCATGACTAGGTTCTCCTGCTATTGTGGCATGGTGCAGAGTGCTGTTGCCATGCATAGGGTCTTCCAGCAGCCACCCTCTTGATCCAGGGCAGCACTATCTCCTCAAGGGACTTGATGTAGGCCTCTGTATTGAGTTTGAAGCACTCCTCCAAAAATTATGTAGTTCTTTTCTTATCAGAACGATCAGAGTGAGTTTTACTAGCCGGGGTTCCTTCGTAATCACCATTAGACTCATTCAACTCTTTCCGAAATTTCTGCACTGTCCTCAGATTGACACCCACTCTGAAATGTTCGTATTGGAGCTTCCAGCGTGAATGTCGTTTCCAAAATCATGGCGGAGGGAATTGTGTCATGGTGCTCTTTTTCTCACAGATGGTGCCCAATACTATACTGTCTAGCCGGCAAAATCAAAAACAAACAACGCGCATGCGCGAAATTAAAAATATAAAATGGCGACAATTTACCCATCGACGCTCTTTTTATTGGTTAATTTAAAGCTGTTTTTAAAACGCGAACGTGTATTGTTATTTACTAACCTTAAATTCTATGCCAAGAAGTGTGTTTTTTTCAATTTACTCTTAATCTTTTGGGATTGGGATAATGATTTGAAACTCCATGTATATTAATAAAAACAGACTGCCGTGAAAAAAATTGCTCCAGCGAGGTTTCAGCTTTAAATAACTTCAAAAAAAAAAACATTAAAAAATAAATTAATTAATCGTATTCTCCTCGGGAAAGACTCTAGCATTTGTTGTCATATCTTCCTATGATGTTGATCTCTTTAACTCCAGCGTCTACCGTTATTTATCCTTCACGTCCTCGTAATAATCTTTCTCACTTGTCCCCTCCCTTATAATCTCACTCGGTAACACTCTACCTTAAGCGGCTCTTGCGCCTTGTATTGGGTGATAAGGATGTGCGGATGGTGTAATGGATAGCGTCTCGGAATTTAGAATTTTAATTCCAGTCGGGCTCATTAAATTCACTTACGCGGAAATATTCCCTGGTAACGTATGAAACAGATTGTTAATGCAAAAACTCGAAAAAATATTATTCTTGCAAAACAAATATGTTTCAGCTTTAAATAACCCACAAAAGGTTGATAAGCAGTAAAAAAAGAATCAATCAATCATATTTTCGTCGTAGAAGACTCCAGCAATGTTCCCATATCTTCCTGAAGGAGTCTGATGCTCAAAGGGTTCATTTGTAATTTCCTTTCACTTTCACTTTCACTTTCCTTTCACTTTGGGTTACTGTTCGCAAAGTTATGATTCCATACCCGTCCCGATAGGACTTGTCGTAAGATGTTAAAATGTTTTAAAAACATTGTCACATTCAATTTACGATCGATCTTTTAATTGAAAATAACGCAAAAAAAATTGGAACACATGAGACATCTCTTAAAAATCAAAAGATCTGACCTCGAGATTTATTTCAAAGAAAAGTGAATAAAATTAACAATTAATTAACAAAGTCTGGGAGAATATTATTTTCTTTACGCTTAAAATGTATCCAAATACACATTTAAACAGAATAAGCAAAATTCAACCTGTCACTAACTTTACATTTTTCTCAATTCTCCAAACACCTTTTTATTTTTTTTTAATATTTTTTAAAAAAAATTTCGCCCCAAGCAAGCCAGCAATGCTATTAAGACGAAACTGGTATTGGAAGAGGATGAAAAGATTTTAGAAGGAACCGGAAACCAAATTCTAACAAGCTTTTAACAGTTTATAGCTATAGCATAACATACAAACTAACAAATAAACAAAAACCAGTTCTAGAAGGTTCCATAGAGTTCTAGAAGGCTTCCAAAAGTCATAGTACTACTATACGATTTTAGAAATTTCGTGTTGTGGGGGGGGTCACATTTTTTTTTTAATAAACTGAATTAAAGCCTTCTTCATTATTTTTTTAACAAAAGTTCATCGAATTATAATACAAAAAGTCATAAATTCAAAAATGTATAACCCTAGTATATATATATATATATATGTGTGTGTGTGTGTGTGTGTGTGTGATTGAATAAATTACAAGCATTATGTCTGCTTATTTTTATCATAATCCTTTCATATTCGCGAATATTTTTCCGTATATTACAATTAAATCAGGCAAGAAATGCACTGTAAGCAAACATAATGATTGTAATTTATACAATCAGACATGCCTAAAAGAGAATTTGCTGCCTAAATACGCACAGACACACACGGACATACAGACACACACACACGCATACAAAAAACAAAACAAAAAATAAAACAGACAAAAAAACACACTGGACTCAACAGCAGTTTATACATACCTTTATCAGTTACCTGATCGGAATACGTATCTCCGATCAGTCTTGAATATTTTGCTCGCGTCAAAAATGTTTGTTTAACAAATTTCTCTTTTCAGGTTTTTCTTCATGAAGACAAGACTTTTCCAAGTCAAATGGATTCCAGTTTTTTTGCAGGACCTCGTGATGCTACATTTGCTGTGATACAACCAGAAAAGGTTTCGCTATGCAAATCAATTTCCTATTTTCTAATTTCTTTTCGTACTTTCTTTTTCTATTTTCTTTTTGTACTTTCTTTTTCCATTTTATTTTGTGCTTTCTTTTCATACTTTCTTTTATTATCTTTTCGTACTTTTTTTTCTTTCTTTTCGTGCTTTTTTTCGTACTTTCTTTTCCTATTTTCTTTTTGTACTTTCTTTCTTATTTTCTGTTCCTTTTAAATTCTTCACACAATCCTTCATTTATTTCGTCCCACTAAGAAATATTGTCTTATTCGGAAAACAACTTGTCCAATTATCAGTTCACTACCTAGGTTGTGGAATATCAAGTGCTGTAAGCGTGGATGTATGGGTAGTGGACAAAGGCTTGGATTGAGGAATTGGAGAGTTAAGTTCCAATTCCAGTTGGGTTCATTACATTCACTTACATACAAATACCCTTGGGAAAAGGTATGAGTCCCTCTCTGCGCCACCCATTTTTTTTTTTTCGAAGCCTGAATTTTAGAGGCACATAATTTAATTTTCCTCTTCTCTGTTAATACTTCGCACAATCTATCATTAATTCTCAATATATATATATATATATATATATATATATATATATATATATATATATATATATATATGATAGAAAGTATTAGGAAGATTTGATAATTATAATTAAGTAATTCATCAGCAGTGCGCATCCACTACCGAGAATTGAAACCCGGACAGTTAGGTTATCGTGCAAACGTCATACCAACAGTTCCAACGAGCCCCGGCGACGAAGAGATTGCAAATCAGACTCAATGTAGCGCCGTTTGCTCACATATTCCGTGGTGGAACTCAACTGAGATTCTCTCTAACCATAGGACTGTGCCCCCAGGAGCCACGACTACTATCACCAAGCCGCTCAAACTTGAGCCTTAGAAGTCGGTTCAAGCAATGATATACAAGTGATAGAAATTATTAGGAGGATTTGATAATTATAAATAAGTAATTCATCGAGTCTGAAAGAAACCTCAACAGAATGCAGAAAGCACTGGACGGCCGTTTATATATATATAATTCTTGTAACGCTGTAAACATTTTTCTTGTGTGATATGTGCGTTGTTGATGTTATGGTAACACTGTGAATTGTTGTAGCTGAAAAAATTCTTAACTGGT